TACGCGGTCCAGTTCTGGTCACCAGTACTAAGAACAGATGTCCTTGAGTTGGAAAAAGTCCAGCGGAGGGCAACCAAACTAACTAGGGGTATGGAGGACCAGAGCTACGAGACAAGGCTACTAAAATTTAAACATGTTCACATTGGAGGTGAGGAGATTAAGGGGGGATATGATCTCCATGTACAAAATGTTCAATGGTGGTAGCAACATTAGCGATAAACTGTTTAAAATTAACTCCACATGTCAGTTCATTGCACATGGTCAAACCACTTTCAAAAAATTTCCCATCCGCCAATTCACTACCTTTGCTTATGATTTTGTTGTTTACGGCCTGAAATGCCCCTGCGACCTCCTCTATATAGGTTGCACCATTCGTCCCCTACGTAAGCGTATAGGAGAGCACAGGAGATTTCTTCACCAACCTCCTACCTCCACCAGAAAATAGAAATCAATACCATCATTTGAAAATGTTCCCCTATGCTGCACGATTTGCCTTTAAAAATGTAAAATGTAATATTAAGCACTTCCCTAAATGGTTGTTAACCCTTCGTGGCATCATCCTCAACACACCTTTCTCACAAATCCATCTACCGCTGCTATATGCTGCTTCCTAACAACATCGCTATCTTTCCACCACATATTTCTGTCCCACACCTTCTCACATGTCCATCATGGCATTCCTCCATCATAGGAACGCCCATTTGTCAAAACTCCACCATTTAAAAACCCCCCTCCATAACACCTCTTCGCTACCATGGCTTGAAAAAGAGGAGCAACTCTACGAAACGCGTTGCCGTTGTTCCACATTAAATCTGACACTCTGCCTGGGCTCCTGGCTGCCTCCGGTTCCAGCAGTGTGCTCCCATCCTACCGCACCATTCCCGGTCCTGCCCTCTTCGTTCACAAGCAGCACGGCAGGGCTAGGCTTTCTCAAGTTTCCACAGATTCCCCATACAGCCAGGAGTCACTACCCCCCTCCCTCGCTGATCTCAGAAGCCTGGCAGTACTGTGTCTCATCCAGCTGCCTGCCGCACACCTGTTCGTTCAGAGCGCCCCCCTCCATATTGACACTGCTCAGAAACCAGCCATTCACAGTCCTTTCTCCCTCTGCTCACCAGTTCTCCTGCACAGCGGCTCAATACCTGCAGTTCATCTGCCCAATCAATCACCATTAGCCACAGCAGTGTTATCAAGGGATCCAGATTTCCCCAAACAGAACTACCACCAATAATTTTGATCAAGCAGATCATCCACCACTCATCTCGCTCAGGATTTTCACATCATCCAAGGTCGCTGATGTCGCAGCACTACTTACCAAATGGTAAGTTTATGTATTTACATTTGTAAGTTAACCACACTGACATTACTCACCCACCTGTTTCATAAATGTTTGCCAACACGCTGACACCATGGATGTTCGACCGGAAGTGCTGACACTCCACCACCTTCCTGAAAACCTTTTGAAGCCCCGACCAACTCACCCAGATGTGAGTACAACAAGAGCTTCCTTTGAATCCCTATACATTTCCCGGTTGACCCACATCAGGTTGCTGGCGCTTCTCCACCCCCTCCCTTTTTGTTATCTTCAGTACAAACGTCCCAGGTCCGCACATTTGAGAAGCAGCACACCTTGCGCCCCTTAACCCCTTCCATACCTTCGGAGAGTGCTTATTCCCTAGAATTTTTTTCTAAACTAAAACTTATACCTCATTTGGTCGTAGCGCTTCTTCCTCTATTTTTCCTTGTCCTTAAGGGTAAATCTTCCACTGAGGACAGCTGCTCCAGGGAAAACCCTTTAAGAGGGATAGAGGTGACAAAAATGTAAATCAACATAGGTTTTTGCTTTTCCCTACTTCCCTAAAGTGTTGCACATGTATAAACACATACACCAAATCCACCATAACATTATGGCCACTGATAAGTGAACTTAAAAGAATTATGGGGAAATTGAAATACTCTCTCCCATAATTAGAGCCAATGTGACAGTGAAGCCATCACACGTCAGCTCTATTAAATCGGGAACACAGCGAACACATACCGCCGATTGCAGAGTTTCTGATCTTCTCCCTGCAGAGAGCGATGACTGCCAGTCACAGCTCCACCCAGGGATTACCCCCCTTCCAGCACTGACTGGAGGGACGGATGGGGGAGGGGGCAGGCACAGCTGAGCTCCAGAGAGGCAGAGCCAGATGTCAAATAAGCTGGAAGGGTTGATCCCAACAATGTTGACAGAATCTGTCCCAGCTGCAGCATGGCTCCGAGCTGTCAGCATATAGCGGACAATAGCCTGATATATGCAGAGTTTTGGGTCACAGGAGGACAATGTAATGCTTTGGGCAATGTTCAGCTTGGAAACTTTGGGTCCTGCCATTCATGTGGATGTTCCTTTGACACGCACCACCTACCTCAACATTGTTGCTGACCAAGTACCCCCCTTCATGAAAACAGTATTCTCTGATGGCATTGGCCTCTTTCAGCATGTTATGGCTGATCAATGTATAACAGGGGTCAACCTGTTATCAATCTACCAATAATCAGGGGCGATAATTAAAAAATGTTAAAAGTGTTGTTCTTAAATTGACAGATACTGACAATGAAGGGGAACCTCCGCCATATTGGTCAGCCCCTAGTGTATAATAATAATATTATCATAAGTATTTATATTGCACCAACAATTTACACAGTGCTTTACATCCTGCACATACACGCTTCTGTCCTGAAGGAGCTTACAATTCAAGGTCCCTACCTCACATGCACACAGGGCCGATTTAGACAGGAGTCAATTAATCTTCCAGCATGTCTCTGGAGTGTGGGAGGAAATCAAAGTACCTGGAGGAAACTGACGCATGCACAGGGAGAACATGCAGATAGTGTCCTGGGTGGGATTTAAACCCGGGACCCCCAGTGCTAATTCAAATTTGAAACCGAAGCTTCTCAGTTTTACTGAACATCCTGTAGTTCAGCTTCCCCTGCCAGCATGTCAGTTGATAGCCTTTCACCCTTCTAATCGCTAATGTATACATAGAGCAGTTGCACAGTAAACAGGAAAAGGGAAACGTGCCCTGAACCTAAGTTGAATGACTACTGCTTCTATTGAGAATTTTGATGATACATTTCTCTAGCAGCTACAAAGGACAGTAAAGGCTTATTTTAAAGCTTATTTTCTGTTAAGAATATGTAAATATTTAAATGTGTGTAACCTGGGCAGTCCTACTTTACGTTTAAGTGACAAATAATTTATCTACACTTCTATACCTACCTCCTCCACCTCCACGGCCGTGATCCACCAGCTGCATAAGCTTAGGATTTATAGTTTGATTGGCTTCCTGCAAAACTTTGACCAACTCACGAGCTTGCTTCAAGTTTCCAGGGGTGAAAAAGGTGTAAGCTGTTCCCTTATTTGTACTACGAGCTGTACGTCCAATTCGGTGCACGTAATCTTCTGAGCTATTTGGGTAATCATAGTTAATGACGAACTTGATATCTTCCACATCTGTTCATTGATGAGAAAAATTGACGTGTTTGGGAAAAGAACACATCAGGAAAGGGACAAAAAAGCAAGTTAGGCAGCCATAAAGCAATGCAAAATAAAAATAAATAAAATTATAAATTTACCATCTTTATACAATACTGCAGTAGAGCTAAACTTAGTGGGAATATCACCTACGACGGGGCCAAGAAAGATTTTCTCTGGATAGTAACTGCTTTTACTTTACGAATATATAAAATTATAGTACTCTGCAAAGAGCACAAGACGATCTTGTTACATTATGGCAAGGTCATGTAACTAATAAAAAATAAAATCAACAACCTTCAAATTCTTTAAAGTATTAGTTTAAAGAGATTCTTACAATTTTAAAATTAAAATCCGGTGAAAATAAATGTAATTATACATTATATCAGGGATAGCCAAACTGTGGCCCTCCAGCTGTTGTGGAACTACAAACCCCATGAGGCTTTGCAAGATTCTCACAGCTACAGACATGACTCCCGGAGAGAGGTGCATCATGGGATTTTGTAGTTTCACCACAGCTGGGGGGCCGGAGTTTGGCCATCCCTGCATTATATAATGGTTTTAAAAGTACTTTAGAGAAGATATTTAAAATATATTTTATATATACACACTTTCTAAATGACACTCACAGGCATGCTGGATTAACATGGGGGTGAGAGGAAGAATCTTTCCAATTAAAAAAACAGTTCACCGGATATATTTATAGGGTTAAGCAAGATGAAATAGTAAATTGTATACTATAATATTGGTAAATGGCATGCTCAGCCCATAATCTCATACAGTGGCATAATACATTTGCTTTAACTGAAAACAGTTACAAGGTTCATTACAATAGACTGAAATTTAGCTACTTCATGGGATTCATCCTCGGGTAAGCTTATGTCCGGACCGATGCACACTCCCTCAGCGAGGTGGGGAACCAGCTGTTGCCAATCCCATCCTTTTAGCGGCCTTACCGCCTTCATCCATGGACACGGGACCACCGGAGCGGGGAGCATGCATCAATGGTCCAGGCGCAGCAAGAGGTCCCAACACGTGCACTGGCTTGGCTAGACGATTCTGTGGAAGAGCCACTAGCTCCAACTTCAATGAGCGAAGAGAGACCCCATCCTCCAGCACTCAACATGTGCTGCAAACCGTTAACTAAACTGTAAAATGAAAGCCCCAGTTCATATGTCCACCCTTCTATTGTGGGAAAGAGCAAAACAATGGCTTTGTATTAAGAGGTCTGTTTCTTATTACACGAAGATCACATAGCTGCAGGTAACATCAGTTGATGTGAATATAGTTTAATAGGAAAGAAAATGGACAACAAAAAAAGGGTACAAAAAAATTAGAAAGTAGAAGGGCGCAATAATTTGGGTTTACCAAGTTGGGGGGGGATATCAAATTGGACATGGTAGGAATAATAAATGGTGTTATATGTTCATGGCTGTCACAAAAAAATAGAAGACAGACGTACCTTGCAGCGATTTAGCTCCCTGTATTTTATCGAGGAGCTTATATTGGAAATAGAGGAAGTCACAGTAGTCTGAGGACAAACAGCAGAAGGGCCTATTCTTCTGCTTCAACAGCCAATAGACTTCCCAAAGTCTTCCATGGCTTGGGACTTTCCCACAGCTGCTCAGGGCATAGCATAGTGGGAAGCACCAGTTGATCTCCCTTCTAGAAAGGTGGTCCGTCTATACAATAAGACATGATATTCAAACCAGCAGCCATAAGGTGAGGGGCTGTAGACCAATCTTGGTGCTCAGGATGGAAAGTACACATTTTGCACCCCAACGTAGAAAGGGAAAGTTTAGGGGTTGGAGATGCAGACCCAAAAACTGCCTCTTCAGTACAAGACCTTTGCGAGGGAAGAGTGTAAGAAGCCAGTGCCCCTTAGGTGGGCAGCTTCCAGCGTTCAATCCCCTCTATTTTCGACAGGCCCCTGGCCCTGTACTGAGAGAGATCTGCAGCTTCTGTCAAAAACAAACAAAAAAAGGTAAGGTTTAATATTGCAAACTACTTTAAAAAGGTAAAAGGTATATATATATATATATATATTTAGTAAATAACCCAACGTGAGCACAGAAAGACTTCATACTGTAACAGCAACTTACCTGTAACCTAATGCAAATGACTGCAAGAAATACTAATGCACAGCAGAGAGCGATGCATTTTATAAATAATCACAAACAGCAAACGAGTTGTCAGTTGAAAATAGCTCATTCCTTTTTTAAAAGGCCTCTAGTTCACCACACACTGCAGGTATTAAACTTTTCTTGTGGAAAGCCAAAGCTACACACTGTTCCATACTAGTGAACCACCTTTCCATTGGGGAGAAGGAGACCAGGAAGTTTTCTAAATATTGGAATTTAAATCTTTTGTCATTTTGCCAATAGCAAACTTGAGCAAGCTCCCCAATGCCAAGCACATCTAATGAAGAGTAACTTATTTACAACCTCCAATAGTACAGAATAAATGAGGGAAACAAACCAAGACTGCATTTGCTACAAGTAACAAGAAACAGACTGAGGGACTAAATTTTGCAATGTAAAATAACGGCTTTGGTTGTAAAGGTTTGTAGAAAAGCAGCATGTTAATCTACATATTAATTTAGTAATAACTTTACAAGATCTGAACAATTAAACCAAGCAAATATATATTTTTAAAAAAGTAAATGAAAGCAACAATGTGCTCTGTAAAATGCAGAGGGTACAATAATCTAAGCAAAATACCATTATAGTATTAAGGTAGATTTGGAAATGGGGAGAGGGGACGAGCAGCGATGAACATCCTAGATCTGAAAACACCACCGCTCCCACAGAAACATGTCTACTTCACTAAAGCTTGGGAAAAATTGTATTATAAATACACTGAACCTGGAAGTTACAAACCTAGACCCCGAGAAGCAACATCTGTGGCTATTAGAATTGGAGCTTTTCCAGTCCGAAATTCTGAGTAAAGAAAAAAAAAACAAAAAACAATTCAAATACAGCTTACTAATATATTAAGTAAATAAATTAAAAAAATAAACATTTTGTTGAAGAATATTTGAAAATGGATTCGTGTAAGTTAGTGTCCTCAATAGTTGGTAGTTTGGAAACTACAGATAATTTTTTTGAACCCCGCCACATCTGGAGTGAATTTACAATACTACTATAAAGCAAAAAGTCTCAGCAGCTTGTTAAAGTGACACTAAACTCAGGAGGTAAATCCTAAAACAGCATTCAAGTACATTAACTATTAATACACATGTAACTTATTTGTGTATCTCTCAGTTGTTCATGAGGACACTGTCTTCCCTTCTGGAGGGTGGCTGCTTTTGTTGCCCATGATCACCGTGTGTGTTGTAAAGTAGCAAGATCCAAATTAGTCCCATCGCACTCCTAACCGGAGAAAAACCCAACGTACAGCGCGGGTGCCAGAGTAGCAGCAGATGCCTCTGCAGATAACGAACAGCCAACGAGAAAGCCACTCGGACTCCAATTCGATGTCCAGTCAATTCATTTATTGGCTGAAGTGGTATGACATCTTATTGCAACGTTTCGGAACCCAGCGGTTCCTTCATCAGGCTAACAGAACATGAACCACAGTTATATTCAGTGCCTTAAATACATAATAGTGACAGCAAAACACCTAATCAAAGTGTAGTATCCACCCCTCTCTGACGTCATAGTGATGACACCTTCCCCCCAAATCATATGCAAACATACGTGAGATACCAGAGTGAAGGTCTCAATGCTGCATCAATAAGGCAACATGGTGAAAGAGAGATCTCTGTGTCCTGCTTAGCCCCGTCCACCTCACACATGAGATCGTGAGGGGATGGACGGAGACTTCGAGCTAGGACTCGCCCGTACAGATTGGCCGCTGAGAGAGGGTTTGCAAAGCAGGCGCATGCGCGGTAACCACCAACATACACATGCCGCAGCACGTCCCATGACCTAGCCCTGTGGCCAATCAACAGCGGGAAGAGGGCAACCAATCAAACGACCCCCCATGTTGCCTAGAGACACAGGGCCAAATAATGCCACCACTGAGAACCAACACAGAAATCTATAGCAGCACAAATTACAATAACTCGTGGACAACCATAGTTATAATCCATAAATAGGAAACAGGCAACAAAGTTAACATAATTGGTGGATTATATTATTGAAGGGTCATATTTGCAATATTACTCAAATTAGACCCCCAAGTGCAGTAATACTTTCCCCACCCAATATGATTATCTATAGGGGGGGAAGATAAGCATGATCAATGACAGCAATAATATGGCGCGACCGACCGCCCTGCTGTCACATGGAGAATATCCATGTGGCATGTCCCCAGAATATTACCAAGAACGAGTGGGGGTTCCTGAAGTCACTTAAAGAAGACAATAGTATAATTATTAAGCCGGCTGATAAGGGGGGAGCTATTGTTGTAATGAATGAGGTCCAGCATGATTACTATGCTTTCGGACATTACGAGCTATAAATCTATTACTCGACCAATTGTCCACGAAACCCTGGGTGAACTAACCACATTGGTCAACATAGGTGGGATCAATAAGGAAATGTCCGAATTCTTGATCAATATCAACGCACTGACTGCAGTGATCTATGGTTTACCAAAGATCCACAAAGGGGTTAACCCTTTGGTATTTCAGCCAATTGTCTCAGGAACAGGTTCTGTTACACAGCCTCTAGCACAGGTTCTGGACCATTTACTACAGCCACTAGTCTGGGATCTCCCTGCGTATATCAAAGACACTGGAGATTTTCTTGGCAAACTCAATGCGTTTGATACTGTTGAAGAAGACTGGCTACTTGCAACCATGGACATATCTTCTTTATATACCAACATACTGAATAAAGCCGGCCTGACAGCCTTGAAGTTTTTTTCTATTGAGGGATAACACTTCTTTTTTTTTTTAAATCCGTGTTTATTCAGCAAAATGATAAACAGACATTTGCATGTATCACAAAAGAACAAGGACTGCACGCAGGCAGTCATCTGATTCACATTTGTAAGGTATGGGCATACATGACATTAAAGTTATTGAATTCTCGTGCGAATGAAGTAATACCGAGACTCAGTGACACAACAATAAAATCGGTCCTAGTGAAAAAACGTCACATCTGTCACTGGTCAAAAACCATACACATCGTTTTCCGGAATCGCATCTATTTCACCTTATCACATAGAATGACAGTGCTGTGGGCTGTGCCCACCTGTCTTAGCTTCCCTCCATGGGGCATGGTAACCAGACCACTGGACCCAGGGTAGGCACTAAGTTCCCAGCACCGTATCCTTTCAACTACAGAGGGGTATGCAATCAGAGGGTGAGGTGAATAAGGCAAGAACCCCGAGGGGTAGAACGGGAAGAAGAGTAGAGAAGGTTGAAAAGCAGTAGTCAGTTTAGGTCAGGGGTGACAGTGGGAGGAAGGAGGAACGAGGAGGAGAGGGGCCTGCCATTCACTGGACCCGACTCCCAACATCGGTCAGCTGTCAGTTTCCTCGAGCGGGCTGTAGCACTAGCAGAAGTCCAGGGCACAGGTCCTCCTACTCTAGGGTATCCCCGAGGTTTAACTCTCCGGGGTCATGATTTGCAGGTCAGGGCCAGTGGTGATGTAGTGAGTCCACGCTCTCCAAGTAGTGCGGAACTTCTCTTCTGTTCTATGGACGGTGGACATGAGATCCTCCATAAGGTAAATCTCGTTGACCTTTGTGAGCCATAGACGCAGTGATGGGGCCAGATTCGATCTCCAGAGCGCTGGGACGCAGGCTTTCGCGGCATTTAGTAGATGCACCGACAGGGAAGCTTTGTATTGGCGACGTGTTAGTTTGGTCATGTGCAAGAGAAACACCTCCGGGCTCAGCTCCAGACTCGGCGACACTAGGGTATTGATGATATCTCCCACCTCCGCCCAAAATCTAGTCAACAGGGGGCAGCTCCAGAAAATATGGAGCATAGTACCTCCAGTTGTACCGCATCTCCAGCATACATCCGGGATGGCGGAGTTCATTTTGTGGAGAACGTGTGGGACCCGGTACCATCGGGACAGAACCTTGTACCCCTGTTCTTGGAATTTATTGGCGAAATGGAGCACCTAATGGCGAAATGAATCATGCTGTCTTTCTGTTCTGGTGACTCCTAGTTGCGCCTCCAACCTCTGTAGGTACTGAGGGGAGTACTCTTCGAGGGGTGTCACTAGTAATTCATAGATAAGAGACAAAGCGTGGTGCACCGGCTCCCCTCGCCCGCAGATATCTTCAAGTGGGATCAGGGGTCTATCCAATTGAAGGGAAGCAGGAATAGCCAGGAGAAAGTGCCTAAGCTGGTAAGCGGTCCAGACATCTAGGGGAGAGTCTAGCAATGTCCGGAGATCAGGCACCGGCATCCAGGAGCCCCCCGCTTGAAACTTGTTGAGGCCCACGAGGCTACGTAAGCGTCTATGTTCCAGACCCACCGGGAAATCCTGGTCCCCGATCACTGGGGTGAGCGGGGAAGGGAACGGGGAAAGACGGGATGACCTAAAGAGGGATCGCACGATCCTGAGCGTGGCCCCAACTGTGGGATGCTTGGAGCACACTGCCAGTATGGCGCCGGACAGCCATGGGAGTCCCGTCAGCGGCACCGGAGAAACCTGCACCTCCATGCGCACCCACTGTTTGTGGGCTGAGTGACAGCACCAATCGATTACTCTATTGAGGTGCACAGCTCTATAATAGAGGGCCACGTCAGGCAGTCCAATCCCTCCCGAGGCTTTTGGCATAACAGGAGGCGTCTGCTTATTCTGGGTGCCCCATACGCCGAAATGTATGTCAGGAACAGACTGCGGAGGCGGGTAAAGAAGGCTGGCAGAAGACAAATAGGCAGTGCTTGCATTATGTATAGAATCCTAGGTAGTATGGTCATCTTGAGCGCGGTGCAGCGACCAAACCAAGTGACCGTGAGAGCTTGTCATTTTTTCAGGTCTTGTTTGATCTGGAGCAAGAGAGGGGTAAAGTTGGCGTCATCTAATGATTCCAGATCAGGGATGAGAAAAGTGCACAGGTAGGGCAGAGAACGTTCCTCCCATCGGAATGGAAACTGGGCCTGAATACAGCCCATCTCCGCTGGAGGTAGAGTGATGTTTAAATCAGCCGACTTAGCCCAGTTAATGGCCAAATTCGAGAGAGCTCCGTATTCCCTAAACTCCCGCATACGTTCCGGGAGGGAAGAGCGAGGCTGGGATATGAAAAATAGGAGGTCGTCAGCGTACGCTGCGACCTTATGGTCCACCGAATAGAACCGGTGTCCGGCTATTAGACCATTAAGTCTAACATGACATAGAAAAGGTTGCAACGCTAGGATGTACATTAATGGGGATAGGGGGCAGCCCTGTCTCGTCCCATTCGTGAGAGGGAAGTACGGAGACCTGGTCTCATTGACCCGTATCGCCGCTGTGGGACATGAGTAGAGGGAGAGTAGCCATGTCAACATGTTTGGGCCAAGTCCGATGTGCTGAAGGGTGGGCCTTAAAAACGCCCAATCCACCCTGTCAAACGCCTTTTCGGCGTCTGTGGAGAGGATAATCAGCAGGGAGGAGGTGGAGCGAGCCCCATGAATGACGTTGAGGGACCTAGCTGTGCTATCCCTGGCCTCCCTAGTTAAGACAAACCCCACTTGATCGTTTTGCACTAAGTTCCGGACGATAGGCAAGAGCCTGTTGGCCAGAATGTTCGCAAACAATGTCGGCATTAAGTAGGGCTATTGGACGATAGCTCCCGCATTGCGCGGTGTCCTTCCCTTCCTTAGGGATCACCACGATATGCGCCCTCAAGGAGTCTAACGGAACAGGATGGTTGAGAAGTATGGAGTTATAGGCTTCTATGAAGTGGGGCGATAACAGATCATGAAACCCACGGTAGTACGGGATCGTGTAACCATCCGGTCCCGGGGCTTTACCTGACTTAGACTGCTTTA